AGCCACTAAAAGGGTCTGAAAGTTGCTAAATCTAGTGCTAAAGTCGCGCTCGTGTGTGTGTGAGACACGGGAGCTGATGGCAGGGGGCGGTCAATGTGGATATTGTGGATAAGTTCTTCTGTGTCATCACGTTCTATTAGTTCTACAGCTTCAATTTCGGAACTTTCACGCTTTGTAACACATACAGCTGTTCCCTCACCACAGTGCAACAGTGAAAAGGGACCCCTTTCAAACAGTGTCGCATTCCGAACGTTGTTTAAGCGACATACACCGGTATTGCGGTATTTTAAAAATTCATATCATAACAAAAATAAACACCGGTATTCGGTATTAACCAGTATACCGCCCAGCACTACGTTGTAGTCCAAACGAGTCGTTCCTTTTAGTTTTTAAAAAGTGATTTCTGTTAAATAAAATATCTCCTTTTGAAGTGGACTTTGAGCTTTGTAACTTCGCAGATCTTTTTTTATGCTCAAACAGCAACATTACAGACCAACTAAAGTTGAAAAAGTGAAAAAGCATAATAGGACCCCTTTAATGTTACATAATAATATTACATAATTATATAATAGTGGTATATAGTAGTTATATAATAATATATATTAATTTTAGCTGTTTAATAATGTAGCCTTTACATTAATTAATACTACTAATAATCATTTATTATTAAATAATATTGAAGTAATAATAATAATAATGTATAATTAGTAATAATAATGTATATTAAACTAAAATGTGTAGTAATGCAGAGTAGCCTTTACTTTATTATTAATTGATTGTTAATAATAAAAGTGGATTATTATTATTTAATAATAATATACATGGTGATATAAATGTATATGCATAAAAAAGTAGTAAGTAATGCAGATAAGCCTTTGCATTAACTGTTATTCATTAATAATGATTTAATTATTATTATATTATTACTATTATCTAATATTAAGTAAAAGCATTAAATTGTTAATTATTACTATCTTTATTTTAATTAATCAATTAATGTAGAGGCTGAATTTTATATTATTTAAAATTATTGTATTGTGTTTTATCATATTATACAATAATAAATGTTCAACTCTTTTAAAACTTGTATCCTCTCCTCTACCCATAGGCCTTGCAGAAAGCCAGTCAGGTGATCGCCGAGATCCGAGAAACGCACCTGTGGTGAAGCCCTGCTGATGTACAGCCCCTCTCCCTTTCACTCGAACCCTGCGATCTGCATCAGCCCTGTCTCTCTTCTGTCTGGGTTTCACAGACAGCCAACTTGAAAAATGCACTGGTGTCAGTTAGTGTGTATTGAATATAGTTTATGTACGCAACGGACTCTTCTCAAACTACACTGAGGGCAGCACATATCATGTCACACCTGCACACCGTCCCATTCAGTGATCTCTTTCATGTATGTTTGCTACCATGTACGCTGCAGATAACGTGTGGCCTGTTAAAGGACTGTGTGTCCCTGATCTAGTCTAAATTAAAGGTAGTGTAAATGTCATGATGTTGTGGCTTCATTTGCAACTTTTGGTGTGATTTGATATTTGCAAAGGTGCACTCAGTAATTTTTTATGTTTGGTATGGTGGCCAACTTTGCATTATACTGATAAAGATGCAGGATCACCTAAAAGTTTTTCCCCCTTAATTCTGAAAATAATAACAGTGACTACAAGGATAAAGTGAGTAGCGTGACTGGTCATGTGATCTCAACTTGGCGGCCCCTATAAGGGTGAAGTGCTCAATGTAAATAAAACAGCTTTTATTAGACTGTTGATAGGGAGTCTACATGATTTGAAACATATGCACTATGCATCTCTTTTGTGTAAATGTGTAAAACTTTTTATGGAGACCAAAATTGCTAGGTGCACCTTTAACTTCATAGCCTTATTTGTTAATTTTTCTATTTTTGGTCATATGAAATGAATGGGGAGGCAAACTTTGAGATTTATGTAGTTTAATGTAATGTTGGTGTTTTTATCTGCACATATATCATTTTCACACATCATTTTATGGAGCACTTCAACTATATTATATTTACTATTATATATTAATAATAATACAATATATTATGTTGCAATAATAATCACAGATTATATATATTTTAATGTATTAAATAATATAATTAACATCATAAATTGAGTACACTGAAACGGCAAAAGCTAACATTTATTCATGGCAAAAATACGCAATAGCCTACACTGCAAAGCAAAAATGTACAGCCAAAGCATTTTTGTATGTTCATAATAATGATTTTAAAATATCTTCATCAAACAAACAAAACTAACGCAGGAGGCCAGAAATTCCTCTCATGATGTGCTGTCAACTTCTATCTCAGCCTTCCTCCCATCTTGCCTTTACCGCGTCCCTTGGCACTAAGAGAGAGAAAAGCAAGAGTTTAAAAATAGTTTTTGGCCTTAAATCTGAACACTTAAAGTGGTTGGTGAGATTTCAAGCTTATGATTGATACCTCTGGTGATCCTGGACGCGGGCAAGCAGTTGATTGATCTGTGAGAAACAGACGTGACAGCTCAGTGCTAACAGGATACAGCGATAATGAACGCAACCTATTTACCTCAGGCCAAACTCCAGCTGTTCAAAGGGAACTGGATTTTGTTAAACTGTCAGTGACTCAAAAACTGAGGCTGGCAGAAGCTCCATAACGTCTCAAAAGCAACTTGAAAGTAAGTAAGTAAAGGCTGTTGTCACTTACATCGTATTTCTGGCGTTTCAGTTTCTCGTTTAGATCGTATTTTTCTAAATACAAGCACCATCAAGCACTGCCACAGCTCATTGGCTTTATCCCTGCAACGAGGTTAGCAAAGGTTCACATAGAACGCGTTTTGGCGTTCCACTGAGTTGTTTTTCAATTATTTTTCATAGCCTTGCTGCCGTTCGAAAAACGACGTTCTTTTCCCATTCCTCTCGTTTTTGAACGTAAGGACGCGTTCAATGCTAATGGCCACCATTACAAGTTTTTTAATGTTCATTTTATACTGGTTGTGTAGGTTCTACTGTAATAGTAGCCTTACTTGTTTCGAAAAACGCGTCTCAAGACGATGTCCTTTTCTATTCTTAACGTTTTTAAACTCAAGAACAAGTTAAGTGGGAATGGCCCATATTACTATGAAAAATATCTTAAATGTTTATTTGACACTGATTATGTAGTTTTTACTGTAATAGTCACTAGTCACTGGGTCATTGGTGGTAAAGGTCAACTATTAACCAGGGAATAAAAAAATTCGAGGGCTATACAATGAAATTATTTTGCTTCCTAATATAATTTATTTTCAAACTTACTTCTTAATAGACTTTAGTTCATTATTCTCTAATATTCTACTACTAATAATAAACTATTTCCTGTAGGCCTGTTTCCAGGTCTGTCCTTAAAATAAATAAATACTGTTAATAGCCTAGAAAACTGTTGGACATTTCAATTACTTGGGGTGTTTTTATTAATGACACTAATATGCATAAAAACTTCTGTACCTAAGTTTGTCATCATTCAGATGATCAACGCTCAGTGGTTTTCGGCGATCAGCCAGGATTTTCTTCTTTTTCTCCCTTTCGGTCTGTTTCTTGGCACCTTTGCGTCCTTCACCCTTTAGTTCAGCAATAATTATGTTAATGAAAGAATCTGCATAAATTTGTCATGTAACTTTAAAATATTTAGATGTTTACGGTATTTATATGTTGGTAAACACTGACCTTTTGCTGAATGCCGCCGTACTGATGGGTCATATTTGTGAGAGCTTTCTTCTTCTTGGCATCTTCATCCTGCTTCTTTCTCTGTTCTTCCTGCTCCTTCCTCTCTCTCTCTTCCTGTCAGCAATTCAGATTGTAGGTTTCATCTCTATTATGAGCCTGTGGTTCATCGTTTCACTTCAATGGCTGAGTGAAGAATCAGTTAAATTTAGATTGAAAAGTTTTGTAGAAATTATTCAGTTGCATGTAAAATGGATTATTTTGACTATAAGGAGAATTTTGTTAACATCCTCAAGAAAGGTGATTTAAAAGTGCAAATTCAGGACAAGTTTGGTGTCATTGGTGGAAAGATGTTCCAGTAGGCGCCTGGTGTAGTTTAGCAGGTGTGTGAGCAGAAGATGAGGCAGGTGTTGACAGCCAGAATGTGACAGGAACTCACAGCGAGTCTGGCCTGACGCTCTTTCTCTCTGTCTGCTCTCACTCGCTGCTGCTCGGCTCTCTCGGCTCGCCTCTTCTGTTCAAACACATACTTCTGCTCGTAAGTTCATGTTTCCATTGCAGGATCTGCAAGATGTTTCTCTTGTTTAAAACAAAAAATTGAGGCATTCTAAAAAAAATGTTCAGCCTCTTTTTTTACATATTTAACAAAAAAGTATGTAAACTTATTAGAATTACTGTAGACAAAGAGCTGTACAAACTGAAAACATTTACAACAAAAAAAAAAAAGACATTTGCATCAGCAATACACAAGATTTATAAGGAAACACTCACGATTCTGTTGACCAGAGCAAAGAGTTCCTCTTCATCTTTCTGTCTCTGGAGGAAATGAGCCTCTATAAGAGACTGTAGTTCTGCTAAATCCTTCTCCTGGCGCTTTTTTTGGATGTCCTGCCACACACACACACACACAAATTATGAAGGTTACAGCCAGGGGTTTGAAAGTGAGAGAGGTGTGTGTTTAAAGAGAAAAATCTCCAACTTACATCAAAATCTACCTTTTCTCCCTCTGGAATCTTTGGTGCTTGGATATTTGATATCTGAAGATAAAAGATTAAGTTTTATCTGGCTATATAATGATACATACAAGAGAACAATGGACTTACTTTGGTTTGGACTTTGAGTCATCTACTATAATTGGAGAAAGAGATGTTTTTAATTGCATTTAAATAAAATAGTAACAACAAACAATTCCAAATAATTTTAAAAAATGTTATTAAAATAATAAAAATTAGTATACGCAGTATCTGTTTTCTAAGTGCAAATAGTCAAATGCAATTTTTACTGATTTTGCTCAGATAATGTCTATTCTGTTTGTTGGTAATTATACTTGATGCAAACAATATATACCAATGTAAATGTATGTAAATTGCCACTGGAATTATAAATAACCAAAAAAAAAATAATAATAAAAATAAAATGTTAAATTATAGTATTAAAATATACAATACCTTCCTCCCTATTATAAAATGAGATCAAACACAAACACAGAGACAAAAAAATAATAATAATAAAAATAAAATGTTATAGTATTAAAATATACAATACCTTCCTCCCTATTATAAAATGAGATCAAACACAAACACAGAGACAAAAGATTTATAAGTGAAAATTTAATTATTTTTATCATAATAAATCATGCAAATACATTATAAAATGATAAAATATTGCAAACTTAGGAGTAAAAGACTGTTACTCACTGAACTCCCTCATCCATCACATCTTCTGTATCAGATATGACTATAAACTAGCTCAAAGATTAATTGCAGGATACATTAAGAAACAACTAACATTTTTATACGCAACACCAATACCAAAATACATCTTGTTCATTATTCCTATAAGGCAGGGATTTGGCAGAAATAGATTTCTCTTGAAACTCTTACCTGGGTTGTTTGCGGCTCTCAGAGATGGAGCAGCTCTCTTTTAGAGTGCAGTGTTAGAGCAGCGGCGGGCCTCAGTCTCAAGGCTAACATACTAACACACCACGTGATCACAATGGCCTCTCATTGGCGTGTGCTGAAAGCCTTCATCTATTGTTAGACTGTCAGATGCATTTCAGTAAAGTTCTAAAACCAAACATTCTCTTTGACCTGCTCATACTCTGCCTTGTTTTACCACCCTATGAAACCCAATACATCTGAAGAAAGAAGCAGACAGTTTGTCTCAAATGACAATGAATGCATTACAGGAAACACACAGAGGCAATGCGTGCATGTATCACTACTTTACTGTAAAGCTTGTACAGTTGTTGAGATCATCACTGACAGTTTGACTTATAGTAGGAAATAGTTGAAATGTTTGATTGATGTTTTGAAAGAGTTGAGCTATATTACTACCAAAATGATTTATAATGTTGTACATATTATTTTTAATTCTGTCTCATCAGATGTAGTGTTCGTAGCATGACTTTGAGACTCCAAGTGCAAAGCATATGAATAAAAGTCATGAGGCAAAAGCAGTTATTAGCAAAGCATGATCAAACAGCTAAACCACAACATGTTATATAGCATTACATAATGAGTGTAAAATCAACAGTTCATCTGAATCTCCATGCACGTGAAACTCCAGAGGGAGGATGGGAATTTTTACATTTTTTTCGTAATATTTTTTACATTTTTTAATAATCTGGAAGTTCACTTAAAGGGGTCATATGATGCGATTTCAATTTTTCCTTTCTCTTTGGAGTGTTACAAGCTCTTGGTGCTTAAGAACGAAAGATTGAGGCACAGATTTCGCAACAGGTTCACATTGATTGCACAAATTTGCCAACAGAAAGCTACTTGACTTCTGCATGAACCATGCTTCATTCATGGCTACACTATTGACAAAAGACAATTTCCCTGTGAAATTTAGCCAAAAACTTTGTTAATGTGACCGCATCTGTTTTAATGGTTACTGGCAGCTGTAAATGAATTGTATTATAATGATTTATTATCACTTTATTTTCAGATGTAATAAATGTGAAATGTTTATAGAATTCAATAAGAAAATGAATTAGAAGTTTTGTTTGTTGTTGTTTTGTTATTTTCATCTTATAGGGTTCTAGATAGCAGGGACAAAATAATGCTAAATGCAAATAATAAAATGCAACTAACCATATAATCATGCATAATTATGAGAGCAAAATAAGTAAGATTATCAATGTTTAAAAGATGTGAAAACACTTTCCACTTAAACACTTGCGTCCAATCAATTTTTATTTTTTTTATTTTTTTTGCGTAAATCCACCTGTCGCTTATAATGTTTGATACTAATACTTTAATATGTATTATTGGGCTTGTGCAATTCATGGTAATTGTAATAAATTTAAATGTTTAATTTTAATGGCATTTTTGTGTACTATTGTAAGAATTTTTGAACTTATAAAATATTTATTTTGTACTGTTAAGTTGTCGATTGATTTCCAATGTAACCTGAAGTTACAAAATCATGCATAATTAATGGCTGCATCTTCCATTTTGGCTGATCTGGGATCTGTTGGATGTCTTTATTTTCTTGTTCCTGTAAAACAGAAGTGAATACATTGTTAATGTGCTAATGAGTTATCAAAGAGACGGTATGAGCGAGTTGCATTTGCTCTACATACGTCATGTGTATAACTCAGCAGGCTTTTTCAACACTTCCTCAAATACACAAAAGCAAATACATTAGCCATCCGCACCTGTTCCCCGTTAGAGAGTTAACACGTTGGTGCCGTGACCCAGACGAATACACACGAGCGACATGGTCACAAGTGCGGCAAATACCTGGTACATTGTCATCTATGTCACTCTCAAGGACAAATTCAGCTGAAAGACCAGGGAAGGTTGCCGACACTAGCTTCTTTGCTAGCTTTTTCGCTAGTATCTTTGAATTAATAGTAATAAACCATAAAAACAGGATCCCTGTCAGAATATGTGCTAGATTTGGGTGTTAAGGCGCAGCTAATGTGACATAATGTGGTACTTTTATCCTTTCTGTAACTCTGAATATTAAACTACTTTGCTATGTGACATCATGCTAATCCAGTGATTCATGCCCATGCAGTGGCACAACAGAACAGCTGCGGCAGGGAATGCGACGCATCACGACTCAATGCTACATGGGAGTTGCTGAGTGAAATGAACACGTTGGAATTATGTCTGACACGTTGGCGGTCCAATGCAGGAGAACAAGATCAGGGCTTTAAATATAGCGTGGCATGATATGCGAACGAGAGATTTAAAATCTTGCTAGCCAGTTAGGGTCAGTACTTCGGACATTTGCAGTCGCCGCGTCAATTAAAACACCTCTCACTGCTCCACCCTTTTTAGGGAGCAAATCTACTCAGTGGTGTGAAGATGTTTTGAAAAATGCCTTTTTTTTTTGTCCAATGAATGTCAATGAGGATGAATGTTATTTTTTGGGCCCCATTTGATTTTCATTGTATGGACAAAAGCAGTTGAAACATTCTGCAGAATATCTTTTGTGTTCCACAGAGGAAAAAAAGTCATACAGATTTGGAAGGACATGAGGGTGAGTAAATGATGAAATGATTTTCATTTTGGTTGAACTATTCCTTTAAAAATGTTGACATTTGGTACTAAATGAGAGAGAGAGAGAAAAAACAGAAAGGTCACTTACCATTTGTGACAAATTTACTCTTGGCTGCGAACACCTGGAACAAAAACAACCCCATGAGAGCGTGATTTGAAAAAGTCTTGCATTAGGTATCTTCAACCCAATCTCACAGGAAAACGTGACTATTTTACGAAGTGGCGATTTTATATGAATTCATACAATGTGAATTGTATGAAAATTTACAATTTTTAGAAAAATTAATCATGACGGTCCACCCCTAAACATAACTGTCACTGGGGCGTAAGCAGATCGAGTGCAAGAGATTGTGTTGGTATTTTTGGTACTATTAAAGGTATAACTGTTAATAATATTGGGGAAAAAATAAATGAGAACACATCATTTGACCTTAATCTGACGGAACATTGTAGTCACAATATCTGCAAAGGGAATGATGGGATACAGGTATGCTGATGGACCATTGCACATCAAAACATTGCCATCCAGTCATATACAGTATAAAACGAACCACTGAATGTCAACTGAATACAGACCCTTCAAGATGAAAGGCCTTTTTGGAAACAGGCTATTGCTTGGATTCATGAGGCCTGGAAGCAATCTTTCACGTATATTTTGCTAGCTAAAGACATGCTAGCTAATTGTAAAGTGGGTAGGTGAGCCAATAATTTGTGTAATGTGAATAACAAACCATAAAATCAACACACCACTTTTCTGACCTGTCAGTCTTTTCTGGGCCGGTCAAAGGAAACAAACAATGAAATAACGAACATTTATGGATTGAACACCATATGATGTTTCCACCCACTCAGCTTACCTTGGCACCCTTTGTTTCCCATGGGCCACGTGGTTTAGTGACCTCAGCTGCCTTTTGCTCCTATCAAAACACAAAATTACACCACCCTCCATTAGATTTGAATACAGTAGGTTGTTAATGGATTTTTATATGTTTCCTGTATTAAAATGTACCTTTCTAGAACTGGGTTGAATCGAAGCAGAGGAAAAACAGCGGACAGCAATGTGATAGGAGAGGGAAAAGGAAAAGAAAAGGCCACAGCTAGAGGAGTGGGAAGGAGATAAAATCAGTAATGGAAAATAAAAGGATCCTTTCGGCAAAGTACTGAGACTGTGTCAGATGGCAATACCGTTGTAAACATGTACCATGGTTTTTACATGGTATTCCAAGGTACTTCAAAGAATACCATAGTGTTACCACGGCACATGCCCAAAAACTAATGGTACCCAACTTAATTATTAAAGATAGAACTATAAACATATATATATATATATAATTTTATATTATTATTACTATTACATACAACAACTAATTATATTAATTTAATTAGTTTATTATCTTAATAAACCATGTGTTAATGGTAGTACCATGGTGCTTTTTTGGGTTATTTAAAAATAATAATAATAAAAAATAATGAACAAATGTTAATTATATAATTTATTGGTTACACTTTGGTTTGGGGACCAATTCTCACTATTAACTAACTATTAACTTTTGCCTCAAGCTCCTAATTTGCTTCTTATTAACAGTAAGGTAGTTGTTAATTTTAGGTACAACTAATTTTGTAGGGTTTTTTTTTTTTTTTTTTAGATTTCTATATACTTTTTAAATCTAAACCACAAATGCAATACACTGAAGAATCACTGGAGGGCCACCTTGTACCATGCAGCATAGAAAAGTGTTTAGCTAAATTTACTTTACTTAAATTTACCACACTTTGCTGTTCATGTGGACATTTTGAATTCTATAATAGAAAATGTAGATGCATAAATAAAGACAATTCTCCCTCATGTTCTGTGGTCTGTGAGCATAAAAACATATCTGATACAAGTTCAAATGAAAACTAAACCTAATTTATCTCAACTCTCATAAATAACTTTTAAAGAAATCCCCTCTCAGACACAGTCAATTTTGTATCACAGTATTCACTGCGCATTGTAGACTATAAACCCCATCTATCAAAGTAGGTAAAATCTCCACAGAGAGGGTCGTCTGATGGTCGTGGATTGTGCGGTCACAGGTCACTGTGAACAATGTCTGCTTCTTACATAGTTACTATAGTCTCCAATTCACTTCTTAATATATGTGTGTTACAGTATGAGTGATTCTGATATTGAAGTCTGGTAAAAGAAGCTTAAAATAAACAGAGCCATGAGTGAAATATAGCTCAGGAGAGAAGGTTGGAGCTGTGCCACATCAATGCAGAGCGAGTTTCAACACTTGACCTTTCACTGATTTCTACAAAGACACTAATTTCTTTTTGTTTTATGCCAAAGCTGAAATATTTCTACTGCCGACAAGAACACTACTCCATTTCAAAACCTTCTCTATATCTTGGGAATTAATTTTCAGTTCACAAATCTCTGGTATCTCACCAGCTTTTATTTCCACTTTGTCAACAGGTGGCGTTAAACAATCATATATCTTTTCTCCAAGTGAAAAGAATTTCCTATTTACTGCATTTCACTAAAGGCCTAAGTATATGGAAAAACACAAAACAAAGCTGACTTGAACTTAAAAACAAAAACAAATGAAGCCTTTGCAAGTAACGGAAATACTTGAAACTTAAGTATTAAAATTACTAACAACTAAAATTGGTATAAAAATGAAATAAAACTATATAGAAATATTAAAAAATATAAATAAATTAGCAAAAGCACATCATAAAATTTCTAAAACAAACTAAATTTAAAATGAAAATCTAAAAATAAAATCTAATTCAAAATATGAATAAATACTATAGTATTATTTAATTAATACTAAAGTAATACTGGCATATAGACAGACGGACAGACAGATAGATGAAGTGACAGACTCACTGTTTTGGCAGGTGGTTTTTCTGGTTCAGGAGCTGGTTTCGGTTCAGGAGGCTTGGGCTCTGGAGTCTTGGTTTTCCAGCTGTTAATACGACCAGCCAAAGCGATGTTCAGGCCAGCTGTTTCCTGAGAGGACAGTTTTCATTAATTCATACTTTTGTTTTCAGTCAAACTATTACTGCTTTATCTGCTTATTTCAGTAATCATGTACTAAAACTCTTTCTCTACTCTTGATACCTTGGTGACCGCTGGGGGGCTTGCAGGACTCGGGGTGGGATTAACCACATTCCCCTTCTCCCACATACTCTTGATGCTCCGCAGGCCTTCAGCCACAGGTACATCCACAGGAGATTTGGGTGATTTGGTCACTTCTTTGGTCTGGACAACAGCAGATAATCTCAAACTGAGTCATAAATGACAGGTGGCTGCTCTAGTGTTTACAATTCCTCACCTGAACAGCAGAAGTGTATTGCTCTAGTCTGTTTCCAATCTTGCAAATTAATGGAGTGTGTGATGTCTTTACCGGACTGGTGTAAATAAAAAATAGTATCAACTCAGTATATCCTAGACCCCAGTACTTGTTTGACTGTAGTTTGACACACTTCTTACCGTTTTAGAGCAGATTTGTTCAGAAATTCAGCTTTTTCGCCAATCTGTCAGAAAAAGGAAACAAATAGTATCACATAAAACACATTACTATGGTACCATGTTCAAAAAACATGGTAATACTATAGTGCTTTTTTGTAAGTCACACTTAGAATTGGTCAGAGAGTCAGTGACCTTTCCGGAGGCGCCCTTCGGTGCGATAAATGGTGCTTTGCTCCCTTCTTTCGACTCCTCCTTTTGTTTTTTTTTCTCGGCTGCCTCTGCTCTCCTTCGCTCAATCTCTTCCTTCATCTTCCTCCTCTCTTCCTGTTCATTTTAGTGACAAGAAGACAAGGGCAGTATACTTCTCACAAATAAAGTGTATGATTGGCCATTCACACAAAATTAGTTTAGTTTTCCACTGCACTACTTTTCCATTATTTTTTTACATAAACTTGCACTAGACAGATGTCTTTCGCCCAATGTACTTGCGATGCACTCATTTTGTGCATAGCCTGGCATTCTAAAAATGCATTTTTGTATTCCACTGTGCTATTTTCCATTCTTTTTTGCTGTAAATTTGCATTAGATGGACGTCTTTGATTGTTGCGCTTGCTTTGCACTCATTTCACACATAACATGTGTTCTATAAACGCGTTTTTGCATTCCACTGCGCTACTTTTCTATAAAGTAAATATGCACTAGTTCAGGGCTGTCCAAACTCGGTCCTGGAGGGCCGGTGTCCTGCAGAGAGTTTGGACAGCCCTGCACTAGTTGAATGCATTTGACCATTGTGCTTGTTTTGTGCATAACACAACATTCTAAAATTGTGGCTATCAAGTTAAAATAAGTTAAACTTTTAAAAGACATATCTCGAGACCTTGCTTTTTTTTCATTCCGCTGTCTGCATCTCACATTGTTTTTTAATGCAAAAACATGTTGCATGTGAATGTCCCCTTAGTCAGCATAAATTTTAATTTTGGCACGTTTGATGCATTCTAATTTGCATGTTATTTGTACTAGATAGTATGCCAGAACAAGACTAGCATTGCAAATCATTGTTGAGTTTTCAAATCAAGAATTTGTGTATATGTTTTAGGCTAATATTACATATAAACCTTTGCACTATGGCAGGTTATGCAGATGTATCAAAAAAGTAGTATTTAGTCATATTTAGTTGTCTAAATACTGGCATACTGTTTGACTACTGTATATACTTAAAAGTACATACTATACCATCACCAGCACAGTACATACTTTTAGTAAGCAGAATTAGTATGAAAATTAGCATTTGCCCAGCTTTCTTTTTCTACCTCCTCTTTGGTTTTCTTTTCTGCCAACTGCTGTTTCTTCTGCTTCTCCTCCTCCTCAAGAATCTTCCTCCTTTCCTCCCTCTTCTTCTTCAGCCCCTCCAGCTCGGCCTCTGCAGTTTGCTGCTTCTGCTTCATCTTCTCCAGTGCCTCGCTGTCTGTCTCATTCCGTCTGCGCTTCAGCTCCTGCAGCTTGCGTTCTGCCTCCAGCTTGGCGATGGGATCTTGCTTCTCTGTGTCGGGAGAACGCAAGCTGGTGGGACTAAAACGTGAAGAAACAATGTCTTTATATTCATGTTGGCTCTCCAAAAAAAATCTGGGAATGCAAATACAGTAAATTATGAAATGACAAATGAGTCTTTGCCTTAGTGTCTTCTCTGGTTTCTTGGCTTTGGCGGTGCTGTCAGCTACATCTTTCGGCTTTGTTGACACTTTCATCTTTGAATGGAGAAACAATGAATATTATTTTATTCTCAGGTTGTGCTGTCATTCCATCAATTATAAATCTCTTGGTAGAGCTGTGATGCTATTTGGACATTAACTTACTTTGTCACGTAAAAAGGAAGGTTTTGTTTTTTCCTCTACAACCTAAAGAAACAAAAACAGGCAACCTTTATTTCTATCATTAGTGTTAGCAAGTGATTTTTCTAACATAGCAATCAGTGGGTATAGCATGGAGAATTGACCACACTTTATATTCATGTTGGCTCTCCAAAAAAAATCTGGGAATGCAAATAGAGTAAATTATGAAATGACAAATGAGTCTTGCCTTAGTGTCTTCTCTGGTTTCTTGGCTTTGGCGGTGCTGTCAGCTACATCTTGCGGCTTTGTTGACACTTTCATCTTTGAATGGAGAAACAATGAATATTATTTTATTCTCAGGTTGTGCTGTCATTCCATCAATTATAAATCTCTTGGTAGAGCTGTGATGCTATTTGGACATTAACTTACTTTGTCACGTAAAAAGGAAGGTTTTGTTTTTTCCTCTACAACCTAAAGAAACAAAAACAGGCAACCTTTATTTCTATCATTAGTGTTAGCAAGTGATTTTTCTAACATAGCAATCAGTGGGTATAGCATGGAGAATTGACCACACTGCATGCAAATTACACAGCAAAAATAGAGCAACACCAGACAGTCTTGACACAAATATTGAGTTTTCAGAACAGCATGTATAAAGCAAAGTGATATGTGATCATAAATGGGTTAATCTCATGAAAACGTGTCCTGGTGACATTTCACTCCATAATCAGTCGGAACAATTAACAAATACAATTTAGTATAAAGAAAAATACGTTTATTATTAAGATTTTTTTGTGCATTGCGACATTCTAATTCCCATTTTTCTAAATGGTGACTCATTATATTCTTATTACTGTAATAATTAATTAAATATTGTATATTACAGTGTATTACAGTAAAAAAAAAAAAAGTAAAACAATAACGAACTTGCATAAATGAAATACAACACATTACAGATTTCATGAGATTTACGCAAAAACTGTCCATCCAGTCAAACCGAAAAGTGCATTAAAAGCGTGGGCTGTGCACAAAGCATGTCTGTGATTTCTATGCATCACTCAGGCTAAGAGGTGAATACCTTCTCATTCTTTGATTTGACTTTTTCTTCAACTTTGGCCTTCGCTTCTTCAGCCTCTTTCTTCCATTTAGGCTTTTCCTCAACCTCTTTCTTTGGAGTCACAGGTTTCTCCTCAACCTTCTTTGGTGTTGATGGGTTTTCTTCAACCTCCCTCTTCAGTTGTGCTTTCTCCTCCTCTTTCTTTGGGGTTTTGGCTTTCACCTCAACTTCCCTAATTGATTTTTGTGGCGTTTCTTCAACTGGTACATGGGGTTTCTCTTGCTCTTTCATAGGTTTCTCATCCTTCTTCTTCACTGGAGCTTCATCTTGAATTTGAGCCTTCACCTCAACAAGTTTTTCTTCAGGATTCTTTACCTGTTCTTCTTTCTCCACCAGCTTTTCCTCTTCAATCTGTGGTGTAGTTGGCTCCACTATGACTTCCACCTCTATTTGGTCCTCTTTTGTCGGTTCTTTTCTTGATATTTGACTTTCATCTTCAAACTTGTTCTTTTCTAAATCTGCATTTGTTTGTTCTTTAATCTCTATACTTGATTCTTCCTAAAAATATAACAAATAATTGAAAACATGTTCCACCATAAAACCCATTTTTGGGTTAAAAACCTAAGCAAATCCTAGGAATCCCATACCTCATTTGGTACAGCTGGTTCTTTGGGTTTCTCCTCCGTGGATTCCTGTAACAAATGAAGAGTCAGAATAAACTAATATTGTAGAAACCACATGAAATGCATTGCTAACATACTAAACTTTCATCATATGGTGGAATGACAGCAAAAAATGTTGAGAAAATGACCTGTTCTCTGAGGTAGGACCTCTGTGGTCTGTCTATCTCTTCTGGTTTGTCAATCTTCTCAGGAGATTCTTTGGGTTCCTCGGCTGCTTTGACAGGCACTGGGTCCTCCTTTTTTGTGATAGTCTCCGCAATCTCAATGCTGTTTTCCTCTATATTTTCCTCCTCTTTTTTCTCTTCCCTTTCCTTCGAAGAGTTGGTTTCTGTTGAAGAGACATCATTTTGGGAAGACTCTTGTTCGCCAATTCTATGACTTGGCTCGTCCTCTGTGGTAGTGGTGCTGGTGGCGACAGTTTCATCCGTGATGGTGGGATCAACTTCCTTCTGTCTCTCCAAAGCTTCCTTCATCCTTTTCTGTCTCCGCTCTTCTCTCCTGGCAATCTTCTCTAGGAGAGCCTGATCATCATCCTCAGCCGATGCAGAACTAGTGATCAAGGAGGACGTCTCTGCACGTCGAGTAGTGTTACTCGACTCTTCATTCGCCATATTGCTCAGGCGTTCCTGACGGGCTCGTCTCCGGTGCTCCCGGGCCGCCTCCTCGTCATCATCGTAAGAGTTCATCCTGTAGAGGCGGTGGGACACAGACATGCAAGTAAAGACTCTCATTCTTCAGTATGAATGCAGACAGACAATACTGACAGATTTATGAATGCTTCTTGGCTCAGTGCTGAAGTGGGAAACACACTTCATAAACTTTACATCACCCCGAAGAGTCAATAATGATTATACGACCAAATGTGAGCTTGAAAATGAATCCACACAGTCTACTACAAATATGTAGAAATTCCTCATATATGCATAAATGTGTGCACAAAATGTACCCATCTAGTTAACATTTATTTAATATTCAACTATTTAAATTTAAATTCATATCTAAAATTACAATTATAACATAAATTATTAAACGTATGTATTTATTTATTAACAAATTAAACATTGGTCATGCTGAGAGTGGTTGTTTATTGCAATATACAAAGGATATTCTTACAAAACATTGCAGTAGTACAATAATGGTATCAAATGGTAATATCATGCTACTAAATGTTTTCTATATTAATATATAATATCATTTTATCACATCAAAAAACATGGAAATACAATTCCAATACCAGTACTTTTCTGTTGACTGAATTAGACCTTGAGATTCATATAAACAGTTTCTTATGTTTATTTATGCTTGGTTTGCCAGCTTGCTTAAGATACTGGTCAAGACCCGAAAACCTCAACTGTAATGAAATCTTTGAGGCAAGGGAATATACAGAGAGGGGTCTGGACTGCAATCTGATGGAAAAGCTTTGTTAGCATACTAGCGTCATGGTAAATTAGCAAGATTGTAAACTTAGATGCCACATGTACTTTTTTCCCCTCAGAGTTGCCTCATTGTCGGTCTCAGATGTTCTCAAATTCTCTGTCTTGCCATTGTAGTTGAGTGAGTCCGGCCTGGCTTGAGTTTGCCATGGCATGTCGGTGTTTACAAGGCAATGAGAGCTCTTGAAATGGCCAATTGATGGAGGATGGGTTTTATTTTTTTCCCCTTTTCCTCCTCACTTCCCTTCCCAATCATTTGCAGATGTTGTAGATGGTAGAGAGAAACCCATAACAGGGACCGCAATTCTATTTCTCCATCCCGAGACCAACAGTGGAAATCCGAAACAATCCAGTCCTCTCAGGGAGTTCCATAACCAAGAAAACAGTCAGATGGAGTATCTGTGATTTATAATGACTGTGATTTTAGAATACAGTCTGTCTTCTGTAAGAAGTGTTGCTGGATGAATACAATAGCTTTCAGACCTCTAGTGCGGCAGATGAAATGCAAGGAGAGATGGAGGGAGAAAGCTCACACTCTTGACGGATACTGAAACATTATGACTGAATCTTGGAATAAAGATGCAGAGAGATTCAGCACATGACAGAGGCCAGATTCCCATTGTATTGAAGGCCAGGGCTGCATTGGACTGTTGGTGCCAATGGATTCTACAATCTACTTAGGTTTACAATGCTTTTGGGAAGCATTAGCTGTGCTAGTTTCATGTGTTTCATTTCCCTCTATGGTCGCTTTCTTTTCACGTAATAAAATAATTTCAGCTTAAATTAATATTTCATGTCCATTTATTATTATGTACAGTCAGTCTGTCATGATAACAAAATAAACTCCATGGCGATAAAAGACCCCTGCTTCTTGGTTATTTTGCTATAATAACAGGACATCATCCACTACATATTTCTTTCTTAGATTATTATGTATAATGTTCTGTAAATAAATAAATACATTTTAAAAAATTAAAATAAAAATAACTGCAAGTTAGCTTGTCATTTATTGTAATTATATTGTATTATAATATGTCAATATTAGTTTGAAATATTTTAAATCTTTTTAAAAATATATATAATTGCAATAAAATATATGGTGATAATCTATATTACCTCAAACAAGGCAATGCATGTACTTGTACAATAAAACATTTTTTTTTTTTTTTTATTAATTTTTAATTTTTTTTAAAGTACAAAATAAAGTCATTATATAATGTGCAATGAGAAAACAGTACAAGAATGTTCCCAGAAGTCCTTGCATTACTATAGAAAAGCTGTGTTATGTCAAAAGAGGTGTTATGTCAATCAAAGAACTGATGTAATATCGTGAAATCCTTTTTGGGTCTCTGAAAAGATTAATGAAGACTGAATCCCTATAATTCACATGCTGAATAAATTAATTAGAAGCCACATCATTTCTTTGACAGTATAGTTGATCCTTGAAAATTAAATTGGACAGAATTATGATGGCATCGTTCTGAAGTGGTAATATGCTGAAACTATTGAATAAGCAACCGCATTTAGAAAATATGCTGATGCATCTGGTGAGCTGTTTAATCAAGCACAAGGGATTTATGGGCGATGCCATGTTCACTTCCTTTGACATAAATATGCGGGTTCTCTCCGTTGCTGTTTTGAACTGGAAACCATGACAGGCAGCTGGGATTTGGGGGAGTTCAGATTCTTTAGCATCAATCATTTTCATAGAGAATATTTCTTTTCCAGATATGATTCCAATAAAGTTTGTGTTCTCCACTACAAAGCCAATGGATGTGGTAGAAATGCCTTGAGGTTTCTTTCTTGAGACTCATCCATCTCAATAAAGTTTCTCTCTCGGCCATTCCAGCACAGATGCACCGAACAGTTTCTGAGAAATATGACATTGTGCAGCAGAAGTGAAGGATTGTGAAGAAGAGAAATATATTCCCCACACTCAGAGTTTAACATGCACACAAAGGGAGAAAGTGTCAGAATTCATAATTTCTCCAGATAAAAGTTAGGCATGGTGGATTTTGCTCGAGTATTCGCTGGACTTGAAAGTGATTTTTGTCAAAGGTTTGATTTCCTATTCAGCTCTGACTGTTGCCACAATAAAGCTTAAAAGTGAATTTAATTTGTGTGTGTGTGTGTGTGTGTGTGTGTGTGTGTGTGTGTGTGTCAGTCTACTTTATCTTAGTTTAATGTACTGAGACCACCGTTATTAATTATATACCAGTATTAATTAGAGTACAAATTAGAGTATCTATTATATCTAAAAAAATCTGTAGTTTAAAAATTGTAGTTTAAAATATGTGCCCAGTTCTAAGAAATGTTCTCTTTATAGCCAGATATTTATTCATAAATATCATTGTGTTTTTGGGGAGTCACACCACATGACATATTACAACCCAAACTAACCTGGTCTTTTCATAAAAATGTCAAATTTTCTGATGTTTAAAAATGTCAAATCAGTGTTATTATAGTACTATTGAGATACTATTGTAGTTTATTTTATTAATAGTTTAAATTAGTTTTTATCTTTAAATTTACCATTATTTTCATTTGTTGAGTGTTTTTGTAATTTTTAGTCGTTTTTTTTTTTTTTATATGTCTGTATAGTTTTTACTTCTTTTTATTTCAGGTTTAGTTTGAGTTATTTTTGTACACCAAGTTAGTTCTTTCTAATGCTTATTTTAATACAATTACTTTAATAAACATTTTAGTTTAATTAGAACAGATGTATCACCAGTCCATATGACAGTTTGACTGGACCTGGCCTTACAAAATAACTGAATCTTATGTCAGAAATTAAAAACATGCTCATCAAGAAGAAGTGGCATTATTTCTTAAAGAAATGTATTTTATGTATTTTTAATAAATTAATAGAAACTGTTATCCTTCTCTTCTGACGTTTCATCACAAAGACTATTGTATACAACTAAATATATCCCTGAGGATAAACATCTTCTACATTGATAAACACAATTGCTGGGTTTGTCCCTATTTTACCCAGCACTGGGTTGTATTTAACCCAGCATTTTTTAGAGTGTAGTCTCTAAATATTGCAAATGCAAAGACAGAAAACCATGGATAGAGTGAGATGGATAGTGTATGCTATCGTTAGAGTAGCTAACAACCAAAGAAACTGGAATGATGCCGATCTAACATCCGTAGCTTTTCCAAGGACACTGTACCGTCTATTACCACCACCACCACCTCAAATACACAAACAATATACAAAACTGTTCATGTGCATTCCAACCTACGTGAAAATATGATCGTATGTGCTGACAGTCATGTGTAACGCTAGTATATGCTTTCATCTGTTCTCTGGAATGAGTATTATCCCTCACAAAGCGCAGTAAAGCATCGGTCAGCTCCAATAGTACACATCTGCGGATCAGTCCTTAAATGGAGCACTGGACAGTGGGAGTTCTAGAAGGATGGAGAAACTGCAGCTCTCAGTCAATGAGTGGGCCAAGTCATCCTGAACTAGAGTATAAACACTCTGAACAAACCTGGCCTGCCAAACCCACAGTGCACACTACCCATGCTAATACAAACTTTTTATGTATTTCAAGAATTAATATGAAGAGAATAAAGTTTTGCAAGGCTTAAATGACCAAATGACACAAGAATGTTAATGTTCCCTGCTGGATAGCACTTCAAGAAGTTCTTGGAATAAAGACAGATTTCCACAGAAGGCTTGCGTAAAAAAACAGACGCATGAATAAATCTAATCTGGTTTAAACAAACCCAGTGTAAACACAGAATAATTGACATTTATTGTATACAAAAGACCACTAACACAATGTCAATTTTTTTTTTTGCAGTATTCATTATTGTTAATGGTGATTCTCATTTGAAATTTACTACAACACATGTATTTTTATTGAAATCAGCATAATTTAGACGGTACGACAAACTAGCACTATTTACAAATAATTTAGCATTTAAATAATACATAGTTGTTTTTTTTCATTACAGTAATGACAATAAGATTTTATTTTGCATTAAAACAATGATAATTACATGAAAAATGCTTAATTTCCTTAAATAACATTTCTAATTTTTTGTGTGATTACATATAGATTATACTAAACTAAATTAAACTAAACTGAACTAAACTAGTGCACATCCCATCTGCCAGTCAAACCATTTCTTGTCTGAAAGAAACTATCACACTTTTAAAAATATATATCCAATGTGCCTCTGTCTAAAATCAGATATTATCTGGATTTACTCTACCGACCCATCAACTGTAACAAAGCACTGTAAACGCAGGAAGACATTTACAAGCATGTCAACCTTTATAAGGAATAGCGAGGCGAGCAGAGGCACGGTTGTTTGGATGACGCAGACACAGGCCTCTCTAACAACTTGGCCAGAGCTTTGCAGACAGCACTCCTGTGGCTTAAAATAGTATTGAACTAATCATCGGGATGACAGTGATCTGAATTTTATTTCATCATCTAAAATGATGAATGCCATTTGATAATGGAAGCAACTGAGAGCCAATTCAACATTAAAAAAAAAAAACGTAACCGTTAAATTAAAGTTTGTGACTTACTTCTCTGCCTCCCGCTGCATCTCTTCTCGCTTTTGTCTCCGTAACTCTCTGCGACGCTCAGAATCAAACTCCTCGTCCATGATTCACACACAGCTCTTTGAGTACAAGCTGAAAAAGAGAAAGACAGTCAGACAGAGTGGGATTTATAAAGATTTGAACTGTCCTGGTCACTCTAATTCAAAATCAAGACGCTCCCTGTCAGCTGTTGGCTTATGAACAACTGCCAGGAAAGGCAAATTATATCTTCTCTACTCATGGAAATATTATTGTAGGTTTCAATATCATCCATTCTTAACTCTCACCTCTTGCCATACAATATCTGTATAATTTATATAGGCTATCATTCTAAGAATTTATATAATTTACAAGCTAGCAGGGGCTTCATATGTACTATAATTTATTTTAAAATATATATTTGTTCATATACAATTTTCCATAATCATGCTTTTGTGTTTTCTGAATGTATGCCCAACACCAAACAGAGCTAAGGAAGTGGCAAATTTCAGTTAACCAGTGCATGTTTGCTTATATTCTCTGAAATAATGAATAGCCTATCAATACAGTAAACAAAGACAAAAAAAAAAAAAATCTAATTGTGCTAGTATTTCATAAAAGAGAGTTTAACAACAACCCACCTAGATCCAAGTGCCTTTAAAGGGGGAGAATGTCTAAATGCTGGAATTAACATATGATAACTTTATATAACTTTGATAATTTAGTGTTTCCCCGAACACACCCATCGCATAACAGAAGGCGCGCCGCAGCGTTCCCGGAACGCGATTACGATCGGGAAAACGACTCTGATTCACGAAAAATTTCTCTTTTGAA